CCGCGGCCGTTATCGCGCGCGTCTCCCTGCCCGCGGCCGCGCCGCCGCCGGCACGGGATCCGAGCTCTCCGGATCCGCGCTGCCTTGTTGCATCTGGGGTAGCGCAGTTTGGCATCCATCCAGCCGCGGTCCCGGCGGGTTCGTTGTTTCTGACACGGCCCGGAAAATGCCTCGGACTGGGGCAGGGAAAGGTGGAAGATGCCTGCAGTTTGCTGCTGGCTTTTCGCTACCCGCTTTGCTTTGCAGCGGCCTTCGCTGCCTGCTTTCCATTTTATTATCCGGAAATTTCATTTTATTATCAGGAAAAGAGCTCTGGCTGGAGGAGCACCCTTGTTCAGCTAGCTGGTGTTGCACCCAACTTGGCAGCGCATGAGCTAGGCGCCCTGATGACCCGTCTCGAGAGCCCTCTCCTGCCCCTTCAAAGTTGTGCCCCTGGGAGGCCCGCAGCTCCAGCAGCTTTTGTGGCACGGTTTTGGGCTGAATCGGCTGCCTTTCCGCAAATCTCCCAGGGGCCTTTGGATGGGCAGGGTCGCCCCAGGCGTATCAGGGCTGCTGGAGGTTTCCACTCCTGGGCGTCTGCACGGGAGAGCAAAAAAGCTCTCCTGCAAATGCCGTCGCTCCCATCTCTGTATACCAGCTATTATTTTCCAGTGCATTAGCTGAATTAATCCATTGCGGTTTACACAGGAGATCATGACTGGAAGGAATAAATTATGGTATTTTATGACCAAATGCTTTGCCTGAAGCTGACAGTTGCTGGCTTTTAGCGCTGACTTTTATTGTGCGACGCTGCCAGATCCGAAAAGCCTTTACAATTAATTTCTCCAAACACTGGAAACCCCTCTCTTCCAGCAAACTTTATGGAGTTCAGCGAGAGCCTCCTTGCTTTGAAGGACTGGATGATCGCTCGGGGTAAACGCTTCCAGGGTGGGACGTGGCAGCCGAGCACAGCAGTGTTATTTTAATTAAAACGTTGAGCTGCAAGCGGTAGCTGTAACATCTGACTCTCCTATTCCTCCTCGCTTCTCCCTGCTCTGTTTTGGCAGATTTCCAGTCATGCCTGATCTGCATTGCGAGAAGATTACCTCGACCCGCAGCCGTCCCCCCTTCCGAGTCCTTCGTGACCAAGCAAGACACGACAGGTAACGTCGGAGA